ACAGGGGTTGGGGGGCGTGGAATGTAAAAAGAACAGCAAGTATGACTTGTATACTATGGAGTCTATTTCATTTCTTCCCTGTATTTGTCTGTCTACTAGCCATATTTGTTTCCTAAGTAACAGCCACAATATTATAAATGTTTCCAATTCTGGAGAATATGTCAAAGAGATACTGGAATGGTTGTCAACCATAAATTTAACCTTTTCTCAGTACTACTATTTTTGCTTTTGAGGGGTACATTCTTGTCTGTCCCTGCTATCTAGCTGGAGGATCACAGCCAACATATTCCAAACAATTAATTATAGGTATGGTAGCTGTATTATTAGTAAGTCACTAAAGAGAGAGCTTCCCCTTCTTTCCTTGAAGTTACCAGAAAGCAATGCTGCAGAGAATGATTTTATTCGATGGATAAGGCAAGTTCTTCTACCTCTCATCCTCAGACATGCATGTATGTCTGTAGTATTATTTCTCTTTGTTTAATAGCTGGCAAGCTATTTTGACACTTCTCCATCTGGTCATAAAGTGAGTGGCAGGCTCTACAGGTCTGTACTTAAGGTTTTCTGGCCCCATGCGAAAACAGGTGGAAGACGTGGAGAGCATATTCGGAATATAGATCCATGTGGTTTTTTGCTTACTTGTGTGAAAGCTTTGGTACAGATGGTTAGATTAGTACTTCCATGTTGGGCAGGGTGCTAAGTATGAAGGTTAATGAGATCTTTTATATAAAACCTGTTACCATAGCATAGAGTTAACTGAGATTGAGGTTAAACTGCTGACTGATGCATACCCTGAGGTATTCTAGACTGGAGCATTTCAAGTAGAAAAGCTAACTTTAGAAGCCAAGGTGTTTGGTAAGTGTTTACTACTGAGTGACTAGTAGTTTGTTTATTTTTTCTTCTTTGTTGTTTCTCTTGGAAATAAAAAGAAAGAAAACCTTATTTTTGTAAGGTAGTTGAGTTAGACATTTTTACCCCAGTCATGCATTCCAGTGAGAAAATGTGGCCTTTTTATAACTTTCCAGTTGTAGTTGTTCTTAAGTTTCTTCCCACCTTTTCCTTCTCCCATTTTCCCATCTGTTGGCCTTAAGGAAAGGCATCAAACTGTTTTTCTTTCAACACCACCAAAAGAGAGGGCTGTATCAATGTTTAGATCTAAATTTCTACCTTGAATAGTATATTCGTAATAAATCCAGAGTTTTGGGTTCATTTTGGTTTGCCAGTTTTATTGCACTAATTTACTAAAGATTTTCTCAGGGTTTAAAGGAATACTATCTTCTTTGAATTTTGATTTTAATATTTTGCTGGTTCACAAAAACAGAGAAATAAGGCATAGAAGGTGTCACACAATGGACAGCCATAGCAGTGGTGGTGTTTGGATTGCTGGCCTACCAGCTTTGATACAAAGAGGGATCCACCTCGCATTGGTAGGCGAAGACACTTGATAGTTTTCAGAAACATTTAAGTGTTTCAGGTGGTCACTTTCCTTAGGAGAGTTTCTTTCCTTCTTTAATACATCTAAATACATAAATATTTAGATGTTATTATCACATGTGATTCATATTTCATAATGATTAAATACTGAGCAAAACTATCTGTTTAAAAAGCATTCCTAAATACCCTAATTCTGCCCACAGATACACATGTGCATCTGCAGTTTTAATTAATGGCAGATGTGCATGCACAGTGGAAGGCAAATATGGCACAAAATGGATAGTTTGGCAAGGCTTTCCTTCTCTTATGCAGAGTTGGATATTGATTAGGACTATCTAGGCTGTGCTTAATTTAGTTTTGGAGTGAAGACTATGAACTATGTGAACTAAATCAATGCAGTCAGTAGTTTTGGTTGACTTCACTAAACTGCTGCAGAACGTAATGGCTCTAGAATGGCATTCACTGTTATGATTGCAACTTTTTTAAAGGGAGCCAGCTTGCTGGGATGTTTGAACTTTCTGAGTTGTAAGTGGAAGAGATGGGTATTGCTTACTTTTCAGTCTTAAAGGAATACCTTTCTGATTTCTGGATGGAAGTAAGATTCTCTCTGGCATGGTCCTCAGTGAGCTTATACACTTGCTGCTGATGTCTCTTCACACCTAGATTGACTTGCCTTTTATTGAATGAGATCATATGCTTGCCAGGCTGCCTAGCTATCCAAGAAGCTATTAATAACCTGAGAGTAATGGCACTAAAGTAGAGGTTGGAAAATTTGTTAGTGCTGTAGGTTTTTCTCTTCTTTCCCATCTCCATGTGACAGGCTAGGATTACTGTGAAACTGAAAGCGAGGGTTAGAAAGATATGGATTTAGCTGTATAAAATAGGTAGTTTTATAAAGGGCTGAAAATAGGATGAAGCAGGAGTGGAGGTACTTTGTCCACTGTCAGGGCCAGAGGTGTCACTGACTGCTTTGATGGAACAAGTTTGATCTCAGGACAGTTGAAAAACGAGAAGAGGGACTAATGCATACTGATTATGAAAGAGATCATCTGGTTTGCTTCCAAACTATATGCCGCTGTATCATTGTGTGACTCGGATGAAGTTATGTCCTTACATTACTTCTGAGTTCTGTCTCTGCCATTTGAGAAGACAGGGTATGTGAAATTCAGATGACTAAATAAATTGGTTCAATATCCAGTTTTTGCAAAAAATATCCTTTGTGGAAAAATCACGGGTAACGCAGGGCTGAGACACTGAACTAATAGAAAATATTTTAGCTTTGATTGTTTCATTTCACATTGGACTTGGATTCTGACATTGTTGGTGGGGAATCTTAAGTCTCAAAAAGGTGAAAATTACCCCATTTTTACAGGAGAGAATACCACAGTGTCCCAACTATAACACTTCCAAATATAATATGCACTTTGGTTTTGAAAAGCAGAATGAAGGGGAAAATGTCTGTCCTTGTAGCATGTAACTGAGTAGCAGAAGCTAGGGAGCAGAACCTGCTCATTGTTCTGCTGCTCCCTGTAAGTCACCCACAGAAACTGTTCTTATGATATATCTTGCACTACAATGTCCAGCAGCTGTTTTGGGGGGGGGGAGCTCAGGGGGGAGTATGTATTTTATGCAAGAAAATACAGTACAAAACGAGAATTCAGAGAGCATTCGTGGCCCCTGAATGTGCAATGAGAGAAATGTCTGCTCACTGCCAACAAAGAATGGGGGTGTAATATGACCATAAAACCTGGATGTGAGCAGGAGCTAAAATGAGGGGCTTGTTTTTAGATGCATCTCAAAAATCTAGACAGAGAAGAAAGCAACTGAGTAGATGCTTTAGGAGTATGACATCTGACTGCTCTTATAAATACCAAAGGAAGAGGGTGGAACTGTTTAGAACTTTTTATATGAAGAAGAAATGGAAGCCCTCCAGAGGACGGTTTTGAAAGGGGAGAAGCAGTATCTTAGTAATATCTGCATGATTCTCTGAGTAATAGATGGCTACAGAAAGTGTTAAAAAGTCCTGGCTATATTCACAATCTTATTTTTAGCAACATGTCACAAAGAAGCTTTGAGGCAAACACCAAGTATATTGGCCAATGCTAATGCAAATAAATTACCAGTACATGTAAAAAAATAAAATAAAATAAATTTAAAAAAATCCTGTTGTAGTGAAACAAAAAGGAGACTGAACAATGGAATGTGCTGGAAATTTGAGAAAGGAATATGTAAAGCAGCCCCAGAATACAAGATATACACAGGCGCTTTACTGTGGAGTAGGCTAATTAGCTCCACAGTAAAATGTCACTGGGTGCATTTACATGAGACACTTAATGTGTATTAACCTAATAACACTGTGCAGTAGCGTGTCACGGCAAAAATACTGCTAATAGCCTACTGCACAGTGTTATTAGACTAAGGCGCAGTAAGCCTCACTAAAAAGCTGTTGGCCGGTGCTACTGCTCAGGAACTTTAGGTATTGCACATTTAGTTAGTACTTTATTAAGGAATACTAAGCTAAACGTGAAGTCTCTAAGGCACATAAATGAACACATAAACGTGCTCACTGTCTACAGGTGCGCTGGTATTAGGGCGCAGTAAATTAATTAACTCTGCTGTAAGATAGTATTGTTGGGGACAGGACTGTCTTATGACAGAGTAAGTGCAATGAAACTCACTTGTAGATGGTGACGGGCTGGCTGGGACATCCTAAGGTACGGGAGCTGTCTGCTGCGTGACTCTGCTCCTTAGCATTCTTGTGCCCTAGCCGGCTTCTCTGCCACCCAGTGCCACCACCTGCAGCCTGGGTCTGACCCCACAAGCCTGCTGCCAGCCTGGGACTGCTCCACCCTGGCTCAAACTGCTCCTGTCCCAGGCACATGTATAGACACTGCTCCGGGGAGTAGCTGACTCCAGCTTGAACTGCACTGGAATTTACTGCGTTGCATTGCGTTGAGTTCACATGTAGATGCACCCACAGCGTTGTACAGGATGAATCTTACTGGCTCAATCTGATATAGAGTTGTTGAAACATTTCTTCCCCCCCCCCCCGGCCAAACAAATTTCTTAGCTATACCTTGCTCTGTGCCATTTTTTCTGCTTGCTAAATGTACTCATTTGTCCTGAGATAGGAGACAAATGGCATACTCACTGGGGGAATCTTCTTCCATTCTTCCACCTGGATCTCTTTTAGTAAAAGTACTTTTTCACTTTTTTCTATTAACATGCCTCACCTTTTTCCACTGGGTAAGACACTACTGGAAAGATGGGGTCAAGAATTGCCATTTCCTTTTGAGTATAGTGATTAGAGAAGTGTTTCTTCCTGTCTACAAAAATAGTGATTAGGAACAGACTTAACAGTTCTACTGTGGTGATTAACATTTGTTTTCTGTCACCTTTACATCCCATGATTACTGTTTCTACTAACAGGAGAGCTGTCTACCTTTGAACTACATGTTTAGGCTTCCAAAGAACTTTAATGAAGATGTTGGTGCCCACCGTGATTAATCACTAACAGCTTCTTGGGTTTGAAGGTAATCTTGTTCTTTATTTTCTGGTTCGTACTTCAGGAAAAAATAAAGCTTGAGGCTGAGAGGGAAAAACTAGAGAGGCTTCAGGAGCTTTACTCCGAGCAGAAGACCCAACTTGATAATTGCCCTGAGTCCATGAGGGAGCAATTACAGCAACAGCTCAAGAGGGTTAGTAGCAAGTTCCAAGATTGCATGAACTACTTTTTGTTTTGTTTTGTTTCATTTCAGAGTTAATTGTGATATGTTTGCTCTTAAGCATCCAAAAAAGCATCTTGCAAATAGTTGCAGTTTTAACTATTGATAGTTGGGAGAGTTAAGTATTTGTTTTAGCATGTTCATAACAAATATTTGCATGGTGAGAAATGAGTCGACTGAAAATAGCTGGATTAAAATAGATTTATGCTAAATATTCTTAAGAGCTTTAGACAACTTGCATGTAATTAGCTCCCCAGGCCTTAGAACTGCTATTCAGGGATGGACATTAGAACATCACCATGTAATTAAAGAAGCAAAGATAAATACTTGGTTTCAGTAATTAGGATCAACTGTTTCAGTGTTGATCCTAATTGGTTTGGGCTATTTTACCTCTTAACTTTCATTTCTACTTGACACAATAGTCTGTTGCTTTTTTGCTGTACTGTAAGCATGTCATTGGGATACTGCGCATACTTATTTTCTTCAGCATATAATTTAGCCTCTAATCTGAGCCAGGCCTTGAAAACGCCATTTTTAAGGTTAAGTCTATTATCTGGTGATTTTTCTTAGCAGAGACCTTTCTAGAATTCTGCACTAGCATTTTGTTCTACCTTTATACAGACTGCAGCTTGCCTTTGAGTGTAACCTAAGGAAATATCATATTGTGCACTCTACTTAAAGTGTAGTTATATTCTAAAGAAACTGTAAAAATGTTATATTCATTGCCTTTCAGTGACTTCTGTGTGAAATATAACTAAGTAAAAAAATAAAACAACATTTTTTACTAAGTGCCAGCCCTGCAAACACAGCCAGCCATCTGAAAGTTAAACCGGGCTCTTTCTGGTAAGAGCACTAATATTACTAATAAAGTTTCCGGCTGTAATTTTCTTAATGATAGAGCTGGACAAAAATGCATTTATAGTCCATGACATATTTAAAATATTATTTTTTCATATCTGGACTTCTGCCTTTTCATAGTGAAAAATGAAGAATCAGCTTTCCTTTCTTGTCTTCTTCTGTTCTCCAAAACCATTTTTTCCCCCTTTTTAAAATGAAAGTCTAAAAAAAAAAAAAAGGGGGGGGAAAGTTATCTTTTTTAGGAAAACATCTATGGAGTCCAAAGTGATATTTTTTCCCCTTAAAAAAAAAATCTGACAAATTTTGAATGGGTGTATATTCAGGTCCTTCTTTTATAGGTCCTGAAGTATACATTGTGTTTACTGATTAATAAAAAATACTAGCCAACAGAAAGTGGTGCTGGATATAGAAGCATTATAGAAAAACAAACAAATGATTTTAGGTTGTATTAAGCATAAACTTTGGAAGTGTATAAACAGGCGATATGTCTTTTGCTTATACAGTACTATTTGAAAATGAGCACGGCCTGTCTAGAAAGAGCCACATAATGTGAACTAACAGTGATTACAATAAGGGAGCCCAGGTTTGAAGTGGTGTTAAAATGAACCTAAACATTAGAGGTGACAGTCTCCAGGTCAGAAGGCATGCTGACAGGGCAGTTTCGCTGATAAACTTGTGAAGTTGCTGCCACCTCCGAATGAACAGAGTTTGTGCCCTGGGCAAATCCTGTGGGACAGCAGGGAAGGACGTGTGGTTCCAAGCGTGAGGTGGGGGCATGAGCGGGTTTTAGGAGTTAGGAGGTGGTACGCATGCAGTTCTGAGAGCAGGGAGGCCTCGAGGGCACAGGTGTCTTACCCATGCTGGAAACTTCAATACCATCCAAAACCACAGCTACCATATGCTCTACCAGTCCTGGTTCTCGCTTTTGTTCTTAAGCAGCACTGTGGAGCTGTTCTTGTTGCTGGGGCACAGACTCCATGGGGGTTGGGGATGATTCTGGCATCCCTCCTAAGTTGGTGCCAGGGCTAGTACCCCTTTCACTCCTTCTTGTTATACAGCTGACTACTGGCCTCTGATGTAACTTCTCTTTGGATCCTGACTTCAGTTACCACAGCTACTAATCGGGCTTTACCATTTAGCACTGAAATTTTAAATCAAGGTAAAGAACAAGTTTGCTAGACTGTAGTTGCCACATTCCTCATAGGACTTGCAGATTAAGATGATGCAAGTTTTAATACCAGTAGGTTATACATTATCCCTTTAAAGACCACCTCTATTCAGTATAGGATGTTCATGAATGCCTATCAGCTAGGTTTTATAAAAATTGAATACAGTACAATCCCCTTTTAATGAACTTCCATGGGACCACAAGAGAAGTTCATTAAAAGAAGGGCTTGGCTATAACAGGGCTGGTAAATCGGTTTCTGCTGTTGGAAGTGTTAATGTAGGAGTTTGTCTTAAACAGGAATACATAGAATCAGGGTTGGAAGGGATCTCAAGCATCTTTTGGTCCAACCCCCTACACAAACATAGGGATGCTTTGAGTCCTGAATCATACCTGTCCAATACTTATTCGGATTCCTTTTTTTTAAAAAGGAAGGGGCCCAGCCCCCTTATTCCTTGTGGGATCAGTTGGGATTTAAACCCAGGAGTTCTTGAATCCAAAGAAACTTGCATACCCCTAGATTATTGAGCCACTCACTAAAATAGTTTCTTACGAACTTCTCTAGTTATAGCAAGTCTTGCAAACACCTCCTCTAGAAGAATTCACAGCCTATTTCTCTCAGTGTGTGTTTCTAATAAGGGTGGGTCCTAGTCTTTCAGTAGACACTATGCATATGGTTTCTCTTGGTCACTCAGAGCTATGGAGGCTTTTGTCAAGCTCTGTGAAGGCTCCTGGACCTACCTCCAATTGCAGGATTCGGCCGCAGGACAGCAAAATGGTTTTCTTCTTAAAATGTATTTTTAAAGTTTATGTAATAACTGTGGGGCTGTGGGAATATACAATAATAATATTAACTTCAGCATTTCTAAAAACTAAAGTTTTTACTGTATTCCAACTTCTAAAAAGCTAAATGAGGTATTTAACTGATAAACATCAAACAAAACAAAAAGAAAAAAAGCAGCATTCCTTCTGCTTTCAAATACTCTAAGATTGGTGGCCAATTTTTTAATAGACATGCCACAAGTCCAGCCCAAGCATGCCACAAGTTAAACTCTACTCCCTGCCTGATGTGCCACACTGGGCACATCTACACATGCAGTTAACACAGCTGAATAAACTCCAGTGGAATTTGCATTGGAGTTCATTGCTTCCGGGTGCAGAGTTTACATAGGTGCCCAGGACTGCAACACGTTGAGCCGAGGTCCCAGCTGGCAGGTAGTCTGCGGGGGGTCAGCCTACCAGCCTGGAGTTGCTGTGCTCTGGCTCAGTGTGCTGCAGAGGGACTGGCTGGGGCACAGGGGTGATACAGTGTGGGGCTAGCTGGGAGGCAGCCCCCACGTTGTAGCACCCTTGTGCCCAAGCCAGCTCTGGTCACTAGCTATGCGTGCATTACAGTGCACTAAATAACTCCATCATAGGATAGTACTGCCCGACACAAGTACTGTCTTATGGAGGAGTTAATTAGGTTGTTTTTAACGTAATAGCACTGCATGTGTAGACAGCGATGCTTTACTGAGGAGCTAATTAGTTAACTGGCGTAACTATACATAAAGCTTACTTGTAGATGCTCCCACCATCCCCTGTTCCCTGACCTTTCCCTGATTTTGTTGCTCTGCTCCCTCCCTGATCTGCTGAGTGCTAAACTATTGCCCTTGCCACTTTTTACAAGAAATTTACAATCTCAGTGCTGTGGTGGGATGGTAGTCATTCCTGGAATGCCAGTTACCATCTACTGCAAAGAAATCCCCAAAATGCTGTTGTTTAATAAATGTCTTTCTTCCTTTCACACCTGTTAGCTTACACTTACGGCATGAAAACCGGGAAAATGCTTGAAATGTGAGTTTCCTATACAGGCAACCCCTGCTTAGCACTCTTAATTGGCTCCTGAAAAACTGACTGTTAGTGAAACAAGCATTAAACGAAACCGAAAGTATTTGACAACCCAAGATGTTGACCACAATTGTTTTTAATGACCCAAGATGGCGACCAGGAGTGTTTATAATGAAACTCACTGAGCACTAAGTGAAATCAGGGATAGATTTCAAATGAGCATTATAGCAAAATAGCGCTAAGTGAAACAACGTTAAGCGGGGGTTGCCTGTACTCATTATGATGGAAGCTAGCCATGTTCACTTTAGTTCCTGAGGTTGACAGTTCTTGGTAATTTGAACACCCCCATAAAATTCTGTTCTGAGCTGGTTCAGGGTTTCATACTGACCTTAATGATCGTGGAAATATTTTAGATGCCTACATGCTCAAGTCAAACGACTGACCAGATCTGGAGTTTGGATTAGGATTAGAAATTGGAAGTTGGGGAAATTATAGCTGTAAATTAGATTAATCACTGTCTGCTGGGATTTGAAGTCAGTACGTTCTTTCTTGCTAAGGTAAGGGAACAGTTTTCATGGTCTTTCATTAGACTAATGAGACCGCAGATTTTCAGAAGATGGTTGTGGATGCTATTAATCTCTCTTCATAGTTTATTAATTACAACCATCTGCACTCACCAATCAGTACAAAAACCCTAAAAGCCTTCTGCTGTGTCTTTGCCCTCAGAATCATCTGCATTTATGAATGATCTGCAATAAATGAAGTATGAGCATTGATGACTTTGGATACTCTTTTTTTGTTGATGGATATCTTTATTAATCCCATCTGTCCATTCACAAATCTGATCATATCCCTGCCAACTGAGGAACTTTTTTGGTTCTTCAGATAAAATTGTTCTGATTTGGACCACTTGATCTGTTTCTGCACAGGCAGAAGCATTTCTTGACAGAAGTGCCAAATTGGAGAAAGTTGTTCTTTGCAACCCTGTTCTTCCTGCTGGGTATAGGCCAATGGAGAAGCATTGGGTTTTTTACTAGTAAATTACATTTAATAATAGATTGTCATTGGGTCATTTAGGAAAGGCAAATTGCTTGCTTTACTTCTTGTACAGCTGTGATCCAAGAAACCATCACTTGGACAATGGGCAATTATCCTGTTACAGATCTTCTAAGAGAGAACATTGGGAAGGTTGTGGTGAGATTATATTTGCAGTTGCTGAAATTTGGCTCCTGCATTCTTGCTGCTGTGGCTTCTGACCTGTAGCAGCCAAGAATTAACTGTTGATTATAACTAGCCTCCATGGCAGCGTACGCCAGCGTAACTAGAGCTGTATGCCACTGATGGCTGGTTTTATATTGTACTGTTGCCTTGTTTTTGAAACAGCTGGGAATATCCTGTGATAGTCTTTAAAATACTTTGTTCTTTGCTTTCAAAGATCTGTGAAGAAACTGTTCTTCTTATCTTCTATTCAACATACAGTTGTGGCCATGGAGAAGGTCACAACCTGAAGGACAAAGCAATGTAGAATGTAGCATCCTACTTGCTCAACAGATTATCTCATTTGACTATAGTGATTTTTGAGCTGAAATGGTTGCTACTTGGTTTCTGAATTTAGGGTGCTAGTTTTGACCTCTATATATATTCATGGACTGCATATTTAAAAGCCTGCTTTTCCTAGTGCAGTAATGCCTGGGTAGCAATTAATATATTATGTAATAGTCTGAAATTGTTGACCTTCATGGCATGCTATGAAACCCATCTGTTTATTCAGGCTTTTGGAGATAACTGAGTTATTTGGAAGGATGGAGTAATTTTATGTTGTAGGTTTTGGGATGAAAGTGGGATATTTCTTTTTGATTTTTTTTTTTTTTGGTGCTAATTTGGTGTGGCTTTCCTAAAGTAGTTGTGTTATATATTGTAAGGGAGAGCCTTGTAAGTCAGTTAATACATAGGTTGCTTTTAAAAAATAAAATCTCCTTTAAGGTACCTAAAATTGAACACACATTTTAATGACTACTTAAAAAAAACCAAACTTGGCTTCAGACTTAAAAGATATAAATGTTCTTTCTCTTCACTCCTGTAAAATGAGAAATTACTTGCAGCATATAAGCTTGTGGCAGAAGATGCAGAATTTAATTTTAATATGTGATTAGAAAGTTGAACTGGTATTTTCCTGTGGGGACGGTGGAATTTATAATTTAGGATTTCTGCTATGACTACATTGAGCTTTTAGTGAACGGGATTCATGTCTTTTTGTAATTAGGGGTACCAAGGGACAATATTTTGCTGGCAACAGAGAAGGCAAACATCCATTCTCATCCTCCTGGACCTTTCCCCACCAGCAGCATTCAGCACTATCAACAACAAGAGATGCTTCTGTCTTCCTTGAGAGAGACAGCAGAGAGCCAAGATAGTTCACTAAATAGTCCTTCCTGGATAGTCATACCCAATAAATAGTAGTGAGAAACTGCACTTTCATCAGTGGCGTCCCACAAGGGTCACTTTTCTCTCTGGGTCCTGCTCTATGTCTGCATGCTACCACAGTGGAAACTAGCCATATTGCCAGATATACACACCAGGACACATGATTTTTGAGATTGGCGATAAAATTCCTGAGATTCCAACCTGGTCCCCCATGCCAGGCATCCTGCAGGTACCCAGCAGTGCACATACAGCCCAGCATTGCAAAACTTGGGCTGAGCTACACTGGCAAACCTTTCAACAAGCAGGGGCAGCTCTGGGTCTGTGCCTTGGGGCTGCCTCCAGGATTGAGCAGGATACAGCCCTGGGTCAGCTGATGGTTGGCATCAGGTAGGGGGTTTGGGGCCTGATTTGGGACCTGGGGCTGCCTCATGCCCAGTCCCAGAGATCAGGCATGGGGTGGCTGTTTCTGTGACAGGGCTATCCTGTGCCCCATTCTGACAATCAGCTTCTCTTTGGGGTGGGGCACGGGCAGCCTTGGGTGCGGGACACATCATACATTCAATTTAAAACATGATACAAATTAGCCACAAGGATGTTCCATATTGCACGTAGAATATCTTTCTGGCTGGTTTTTCGGATTAGAAATTGTCTAACCATGTGGCATTTTACAATTTTTATGGTATTATTAGAATATTAATTGTACCATAAGTGTAACATCTGTCATGGCCCTTGAAGTAATTGCCCACAGTTAGTTCTGTCTGTAGCTTAGTAGTGGTCCTGGATTTCTCCGTGGTACTGAGCTCTCATAAAACAGCATCTGTGATTAGTGCTTTCTGCCATTCTTGATTAGCAGTCATA